TCTGGATGGAAACATCTCCTGCAATCTGCAGCCCACGAACTTGCTCCATAGGGATGCGGTGTTGAAAAGTATGGAAATCATTCCCATTTACTTTTATCTGCAACAGAATAATGTCATATTTGTGTTGGATTAAATCAATAAAAGAAGCATAAATGGTAATAATATAACTGATCACATACTGACTATAACTAATACCTTACAATTATATTATAGTGAGAATAAACCATTTATTGAGTCTTCAGTTACAGCTTTTGCATGAATAGATTTTTACATACATAGAATTTGTTTTCATTGTCTGTACAACAGTTTGTCCTGACCTGGTAGCCCTGCAAAGTAACGATGATGACCATTTCAAAATGCTCTCCCTTTCTAAAAGGCATTTTGTGAATCTTGTCCTCTGACCCCCAGGATCCATTCTGACAGGTGTTGAAGACCACCTTGTCCCTGCCATCAAATCGAGGGTTGAAGTGTAGGGCAATGTCGCTGGATTCAGATTCTCCACAAATCAGGTTGATAAAGAACCTGCCAATGAAAAGAAAGAAAGAAAGAAAGAAAGAAAGAAAGAAAGAAAGAAAGCAGATAAGATTAGGAAACTTGCTGTAACTGTTGTAAAAAAAAAAAAAGAGCTTAATATGTTGACACAGTGAGGTATGTGCAGTTTTTACTCTGCCCGTTAATGGACTATGATCCTGAATCACTGCTGCCTCTTGGATATAAATGATAAATCATGGCTAAAGATAACCACCTTGGAAACAGACAAAGCTGTTTAACAACTATTGACTATAACAAATTTTCTGTAAAGTGTATAGGGTCACAAGTTTATTTCTTCCCCTCACCTGGTGATGTGCTTGGGAATGGTCCCCTGGATATAGATGGATGTTCCTTCCCTCAGCCCTCCATAAATAGGCCCTAGATAGGGTATGTCCTGTGCCAGGGACAAAATATTAAGTAACTATAACACAGCAACACGGTGGAATGTACGCACTTCATAGTCCAAATGTCCAAATGTCAGTCATATTATGATTAAATCAAGTTACAAATTACTTTGCAGTGATTAATTACAGTACTCTAGTGTTATTTTGAACTATCATAATAGTGTATATATTATTAGTGTAGTTACTAGTTAAATGTCAAATTAGGATTTAATGTAGATTAAATATTAATCAGGCTTTTCTATTTGGTTTGTACCAAATCTGTAAATGTATTATTTGTTTCAATGAAGCCAAAAGAGGCCCAGCATTTCAATATTTATACAAAGGCCTGGGCAGTATGGACAGCATTGTGAATCTATCTAGTGTTTATCTTATTTCACAACAGTTCTTACTCTCTCAGTTTGGCCTCTCTCTTTGTTATTGGGCATGGCAAAGCACACACAGTTCATGTATTATATACTGTCTTCCATAATGCTTTGGAAAAATACATAATTTTTGTATTTTTACCTCAGTATACACCACAGTGGACAAGTCTTAAATATGATTAATCAATCTATTAACAAGCCATGTTCAACAAAAGGGCTGAAACAGGTGACCCTGAACTCTCCCTTAGTTATGGTGCAATAGGCCTATTCTGCTGGGGACTTTCCATAATGCACTGCGCGTTTCTTTCTTTGTGTGTTTATGCACAACTTTGAATGTTATCGTTAGTCATTATTAATCTATGACTCACTTCCAGTTAATGTTCTGCCCTGTCTTTGTCCCCTCACCCAGTAGCGGTTTTAGATACGGGCGACACGGGCGGTTGCCCGGGGCGGCATCGTGGTGGGGGGTGGGCATC